GAGGAATGCCTCACAAGAGACAGGGTGAGTTTTTTTTCCTTCTTATGAAATTAAGAAATTTATGAGCACTGCCCTTGGCACCTACACTGAATAACTTCTTCCTGAGATGGGAATTTTTACCTGACCTGTTTGGTCTTTGCCAGACCCTTGACAATTCATTGTAGTAGATGTCCACGACTCCAGTGGTTGTATTCCGTGCTTATGAATTTCCAAGTGGGCTTGATGATCATTGTCATCAGCCTTCAGTGATGACATTGTTACCAGCAGACCAGGCACAGCTTGCCCTCTCACACTAAACAAATGACTTTTAAAAAAATTTATATTTTATTAGCATATTCATTGTTAAAAATAAAATTATTCTTTATGCCCCTTATCCAATCTCCCCCCTCCTCCTCCTCCCTCTAATAACCATAGATTTGTTCTCTCCATCTGATAGATTAACTGTGCCTCTGTCAGTTTGTTGCCCAGATGATCTGTCCAGTACTGAGACAGGTGCGAGCAAGTCCTTCCCTATTATCATAAATCAGATGCTTCTTCTATTACTCTGGAGTGTGCTTTGCAGAGAGAGAGGACCTCTTTTTTTGTGTCTCCGCTGGTGCCACTCCTTGTGTCAATGCAGTTGAGAGTCTGGTGTGCCATATGCACGGTGGCTGTGACGGCTGCTATAGAGACTAGCTGCTTTTGCAGCAGCCATAGCAATTGCAGTGGCTATGGAGGGCTACCAGTGTGAAAATGGTGTTTTTGGTGTGCTCTTTACCTGGTCACAGCTGGGTTTAGCTTCCCCCAGCTCCATACCTCAGGCCCCTGGCCCCAGGGTGGTGGTGGCAGCTTGCCTAGCTGTGGCTGGGCTTGGCTTCCCCCAGCTCCACGCCTCATTCTAAGATGTTGTTGCAGAGCAGTTGGAGGGGAGGGGAGAGGGAAAGGGGGAAGGAAATAGGATGGGAAGAGGAGGAAGGGGGGTTGTGATCAGGGCCTGTGGCACTCCCCTCATTATGGCAGGGGAGACCAGGAGGCTTCCAGCAGTGGCTCGGTTGTTGCTGAGTTGGGTGCACATGTCGGTGTGTGTGTGTGTGTGTGTGTGGCTGAGGCCACCACCCCCACCACCCCAGCTGGGGAGCCTGTGGTGCTACCAGCAGCAGCTTGGTGGTCGTCACTAAGCTGGTTGTGGATATCGGGGGGCGTGGCTGAGACCCCCAGCCACCCCCCATCACTGGCTTGGGAGCCCAGGGGGCTTCTGGTCCTTCTAGGTGGTATAGGTGTTCTTTGGTGAAGTGAGACCTTTACTAGTTAATATCAGACTTTGTCTCTGATCTTTGCGGTTTTTGTTTTCTCTTTCAGTTCTGTGTTGGACTATTCACTGTT